AGCACCTCGGCTGTTCCTTGTTCTAAAAATAGCCAACTACAATAAATCGAACTCAATCAGGAACTCAACCAACACCTTGTTTTCCTAACAAATATTACGATTGTGGCTAGCATGACTCTTAGGTTCCCACACAGAGAAAACCAGGAATTTGTTTACACTGTTGACAGTGCTTCCTGGGAACAACTCATAAGCAGCTCCCTCATTTTTATATTCAGTGAAAATAATACATACATGTAGTTATTTATTAGATATTCTTTGGCAAATAAGACGACTGTGATTAGCACTTGAAAGATAAAAAGAGTGCAACTCTCATAACATAAAAGCAGAATATTTTCTCAACATTTAAAAAAAGTGATAAAAATCTGCTCCATTTGCCTCAGGGTCTATACAGATCATTTGCTTTTTCATATCTTCCACCATGTCTCCAATCTTCTGTTATGGTAATTAGAAATTACTATCATCTCAGCAATGCTTGTAAGTCTCCTAAGTCATCAAATAGCTTTTGGGGAACTACTTGGAGACAAGAGCCTTGGTCACAGTAACCATCAGAGTTGCTAGCAGTCACCCTGGAAAGTCCACGGTCTGACACCACCGCTTCTAAAAGTGGACAGACCAGCAATGAGGCATATAAAAGGCTGTGTTAGAAACCACATCACTTCTAACGCTGCTATCCTGTTTCTCGGGAAGTCTGACGACTTCAGTGGCCAAAGTTATCAATCCATTAGTTTTCCTAATCGAGCACCTTTGAAATACACAAATCTCTACCTGTATTCGGCTGTTTCCCCAATCTGCTACGATAATATTTCCATTAGAATCTACAGCTACTCCAGTTGGTGCATTAAATTGCCCGTTTCCTTCTCCATTTGATCCAAACTTCAGTATGAATTCTCCCTCCTGGTTAAATACCTGTATGGGTTAAAACAAAAACCTGAATATGGCATCGTATCAAATATTAATCATCTACTACTACCAGTTCATCTGTTAACAAAACTGGGAATTGAAGAGCTCCCAGGAACATGCCCC